CCCTCTTTCTATCCAGTTCCTGTAAAATGCCCATTTATTTGTGATTCTTTGGCATTTATTTCCTCATCTATCCTCTACCACTATCTGTGTGAATATTTCTGTACGTATTCAAAAACATAATCATTCCATTTTCCATATTCCATTTGGCATATTCAGGCTAATACGGTAATATCCGCTCACCCCCTCCCTTGGGTGGGCGGGGTTTGCGACACCAAGAGGCTCCTGGGACAGGTGAGCCACCCACCTTTGTTCCAGGGAGGCCATCGCCCTGCCCCCATCTCGACAGGCCTATGGGCAGCTGGCTGGGGGTGGGGCAAGGGCCAGCATAAGGGACCGATGCCCCTCCGCCCAGGCTTACTTACAACGAGGCATGCGATGGGGTGCGCGGATGCCCAAGCGGTGCAGATCTGCGAAGGCAGACCTGGAGGAGTATGCCCTAAGTCCGGCAACAACCATCCTATGGTTTGAACTCCTCCCTCAGAAGTGCTTTGATGGGCCACAAAACTCACCAGAGCCTCAGGGATTGGTGGGTGGCAGGGTCTAGTCCTTCTCCGTAGGAGATGATGTTCAGCTGTAGGAATCTTGGTGGCGAGACCCTAGCTAGAGTCTCGGGTGGCAGTTTTAGGCCTTATTTATAGTCTTATCTGTGAGTCAGGGGCAGCATATTGATGCACCAGTGTTTGCAGGGCCTGGTAAAGGGTTGATTGTGGGGGTCACTGGCCCTACAGTGGCGGCATATAGGTCAAACTCCCGGCTAGGTGAAGTGGGAGGGCATGTTGGGTAAGTGTGAGCTTTCCAGTCCCCTCCCACAACACCTGATTGCCCTGCGCATCCTCAGCCCGTTGGGTATGAGAGATGCGCCTTCCAAGGCCTAAGCCAAGGTTCCTATACCTGAAAATAAATAAAGTTGTGGCCTAATTTAAACCCATGCATTGTTGTCATGTCTCATCTCTTGGGGGTGTGGTGGGCACCGGGGACAGGGTTTAGCGTGTGAGCTTACAATTGTCTTTACAGGACTATCAGAACACATGGAACTTTACAGAGCTTCTTATGGATGAACCAGGGGTAGCTAACATGGTGTGCCCTTCAGATGCCTTGGACTCCACTTCCCATCACCTCTCACCATTGGCAATGCTGGCTAGTGCTGGTGAGAGCTGGTGTCCACAACATCTGGAAAGTTCAACATTAGCCACGCTGGCATGGACAAATCCAAAGGATCTTCCTTTTGAATACTTTGAATAGAGAATGCACATGTTCTTTCAACTCAGCTGGCAACAAAATATATCATAAAAAGCAGCTCTGATTTTATACATATATTTGCCATGATGAACATGTACTTTTCACTTTGCTATTGGTACCTAAGAAAAAGCATCTCTGCGGAAGTAAACTTTGTATGGAGATTTAAATCACACGGGCTATACAATAAATGCACCTATATTATATTATCCTGTTAAATTTGATTCCATCTTATGCAGAAAATACAGTGTTATTGCAAAACCCATTCTGCCTTGTACAGTGTGATCCAAAGTACTCAAAAGTAAGTCCCATGGAGTTCAGCTAGGGATAGGACTGCAGTCTCAATTATATTTCCTTTTTACTGTGCTATCTAAATAGCTGACCATTAAGTCTCCACAGTAATTTACAGCCTAGCCATAAGCCAGACTGTGCCAGCCCACAAGTAGTTGGAAACTAGACACAAGATTACACTGATATCACAACAATACACAAGTATATGTTGGCACAAATGTCACTAAGTACCAGTCTTACAAATACCACTACAGTATTCATATTTAACATATATTTACATACTGACAACCATATCCCAATACGAGTGTTAACTTCGAAAGGGTGAACACTGGTACAAATCACAACCGATTTATAGATCAATTTATTAGATTGAGTAAGTTGTGCTACATGTAATGTCACAGAAATGTAGAATAAATAAGTTATCTCTGGGCACTGTGTATTGCATCTTAGAAAATAAGCTTCTGTTCGGTTTCCATTCTTTTTATACGGCAGAAAGGTTTAATAAGTATATGAACCACTATATACTATGTACTATATTCTGAACAGGATACAGCATGTATAAAGAAAGACCGCAGTTAGTAAAAAGGAAACTAGCCCATGAGATGTGACAGACTGTGACACTTACTCTAGGAGGAAACTTAAGAAGTCCTGCTGTCCAGTTTTAGATAATTATTGCCTCATTATCTCTTGCAGCCTCATTCATTCCCATTATGGTGTGTTTATGTGATTTGCATCAATGACTAGGCACAGACTATCCTGCTCTAGATTTTGCCTGCTGGCAGATGGACTTCCTTTTGTTACTTGTTAAGTAAGCAGGATTCGGGGGCAAATGAAGAGATTTGCATTGTCTGATGTTGGACCAAAAACGCTATAAAAAAAACCAAAGTTTAACTAGTGAGGCTTCAAGACCAACTTGGGTGTGGGTGGAACCAAAACACAACACAACGGTGTGTTTTAAATGAAAGCATTAATGAAGTGCCTTCCTGAGCCAGCGTATGTAAAAATAGGTTTTCTGCAATAATCTTGCATGTGTCCTTAGAAGTTCTTCCCATCTTTGCCTCTGGTATTTAAAAGCCTAAATGCTCCTGGGATTTACTCTCTGTGATCCAAGCCACCGCAATGTGATTGCGTGGCATGTAAGTCAGAGACGACTTTAGTCTGAAGCCCTGAGCTTATTGACTCCTTCAAACATCTTGGAAGAAGATTACACCAATGTAATAATGTACAATCCTTCTGCAATCCTTAAGAGAGGGGAGGGAAATGGTTACTGTGGTTAATTCAGCCAAGCTGCCCTAGAGTCCAGATATAATCCAGAAACTAACATTTATCTCTCTTGCTCAAAGAAAGCTTCGACCTCTGGCATGTTCCCAAGCTTACTGTGAAACATGAATGTATACGTCACCCTTTAGCCATATATGGAACGTGGCTTCCGCTGTAACACACGAGGAACTCTGCTGAAAGTACTGCACAGTTAAGTAGCCATCAGGCAGGAAAGCAAGCTAGAAATCCCAGAATGGCTGTCAAATTTCTGTCGTCATAGACAATTTGGCACTTTCAAATGTTTTTTTTTTAAATCATTTTTATTTGATTTTACAAGTACAAAGTTATATACAAAAAAGAAAAGAAAAACATATCCATATAAAGAGATTCCTCCAAATCTAACGACTTTCTCCCACCTCCTCCATGGAGTCCCATTTTAAACATTTATTACTGCATATTCTTCCATACTCTGATTTTTATATCAAACCATATTATCCATGGTAATTGTTACACTATAAGTGAGATCAAAATCCTGCTAATGTTTCCATCTGCTTACAGTCGTCTCCTAACTAACTTATAAATTTTCCCCATTCTTTTATATAAAGTCATTGTCCTCTTGATTTCCGAGTTTTCCATTCCGTTTTGCAATCTCGACATAGTCCATTAGCTTGGTTTGCCACTCCTCTCTGGTAGGGATGGAACTTTGAAATAAATAAATGAATCTTCTTCTGCTTTAAATGAGTGGTTCTCAATTAGCCAAGTATTGCAGACCCACTACTTTTCTAGGGTGAAGCTGTGAACTCAGTGGCGAAGCTGCATGCTCTGCTACGGGGGGTGGGGCGTAGAGCAGGCGGGAACCTGATGCACATCCCGGGGGTGTGCCGCCCGCAGGGGTGTGGTCACATTCTGGGGGCGTGACATGCCACCTGTGGGGGCATGGTGCACGGCGTGTGAGTGTCTGGGGGGGGCTGCCGCGATAGCTCCCTACCGGAATAGTGGTACCGGGGGCAGTCTGCTCCCTCCGCACTCCTGTCCCTCCGCCAATGCGTGGACTGCTTACTTTTTAGAAAATGTTGTTATGTCTATGGTAGTTTTTGTTATGTGAATGGTGCCACACACACCCTGGGTGAGTTACGTTGACCCCTGGGGTCCGTAGACCACTGATTGGGAACCACTGCTTTAAATTATATGGACTGGGGGGGGTGTGACTCAAAGCATGAGATGGGCTTCCTGGTGGAAGCACAAGGCAAAGCTCACTCCTGACTTCTCTGAACCCAGATTTCTTCCCACCACTGAGCCCTCTGGGATGGGAGGTGGTGGCAGCCATGGTGGTACCTCGGGTTAAGTACTTAATTCGTTCCGGAGGTCCGTTCTTAACCTGAAACTGTTCTTAACCTGAAGCACCACTTTAGCTAATGGGGCCTCCTGCTGCCGCCACACCGCCGGAGCACGACTTCTGTTCTCATCCTGAAGCAAAGTTCTTAACCCGAGGTACTATTTCTGGGTTAGCTGAGTCTGTAACCTGAAGCGTATGTAACCTGAAGTGTATGTAACCCGAGGTACCACTGTATGTCCTGGGCCGGCCCATATCTGACTCCTGAACTTTCTATGGAATTTCAGTGCTTTGTTTATATTAGAGAACCCTTGAGGTCTAATAAATTAAGAGTGTCAGACTAGCAGATCTGGGTCCACTTCCCCACTCAGCTCACTGACCTTGGACGAGTTGCTATATCTCTCAGTCTAACCAAGGGCTGTTGTGAGAATAAAAGAGGGGGAGGCAAATGTTTGCCCTTGGAAGCTGCTTGGAGCAAATGCAGGATAAAAATGAAATACAAAAATACATACTGAGAGAAAAACTAAAAAATACTCCTCTCCCCTGCAAAAAAAACGATTATTGACCTGATGTTCAGTCACTGCCAGAGCCAGCCTGAATAAAAACGTTATGAAAGGCTTGGTTGATTTTGCTTCTTATTGAGCAACAATAGCAAAATCCCAGCTGCTTTATGTTGGTCCGTGCTGCTTAAAACACACACTTTAGAGATCCACAGGCAAGAAGGGCCTCGCCTCCTATTCAGATTTCAGTCTACCGGAGACTCTCTCTCTCTCTCTGTGTGTGTGTGTGTGTGTGTGTGTGTGTGTGTGTGTGTCCCCTCCACAAAGATGGGTGTGGTCACTTCGCATCGAGACTGTGGTCACATCAGATGGAAAGCTGCCCGCATCTCAGGTTATACAGAGGGAGCGAAGCTGGGTGAGTGCGATTAACCCTTGAGCCCCGCTATCGCCTTCTAGCAGTTTCAACGAAACGTCTTGGTGGCAAGCGATGCAAGCAGGAACCAGCCTGAGGAACTGGGGCTTCCAAGCCAATACTGTAGAACAGAAACAATGCTCCGGCGGCCGCGCGGCAAGGTTGCAAAAGCGTGATCCCCAAACTAAGCAGCCTTCCCCCCCTCCCACTTCCAGCCAGACAGCGGCGGGTTTAACTTTCCACGCCAGGATCAAGGGCTCTTGCAACACCTTATCTCTGCCTCGCACCCCTTTCCCCAGCAAAGCCCCGCTCACCATATGCTCCTGGGGCGAGAAACCGGGAGGGGAAGAACCCCCACCCCTCTCCTCCTCCTCTCGCCCCGCCGCTTCCCCTTTTGCAGCTGCTAGCAATAACCCTCCCTTCTCCTTCCTAGCGGCATCTCGCCCGGCAAAGCGGGCGCTTTAGGCGCGAGCCTGGGCAGGGTCCGCTCCTCGCTCACCCCGGGAGGCATCCGGGCGGCCTGGCCCACTAAGCCCCGCCCTCCGCCCGCCTGTCATTGGGCAGCGGCCGAGGCGGCGCGGCCCTCATTGGCCGCGAGGGGTGTCGGCTCGGCGCAGGGGAGGGGCGGCAGAAGGAGAACCCGCGAGGCGCTTGGAAGCTCCCGGGCTGGCGGCTTAGTCTCTTGCCTGCGCGCGGCGGCTTCGGGTGGGCTGCGCGCCTTCGCCTGCATTCCCAGGCCAGCAGCTGCGGATAAGAGGCGGAGAGGGCGGCGAAGGCGTGGTAGCGGCGGTGGCGCGAGGGGCTTGGCTCCGGAGAGAGCGGGAAGGCGGAGAAGCCATTAGGGGGGAGCGAGAACTTTTGTTTCCGCTCTGAGTCGCCCCCTGCCCGAGTCCCGCCTGCTTGGCTCTCGCCGCGCTCGCAGCCGCAGGCGAAACTTCTGACCCGCAGGCGAAATTTCGCCGCCTCGGTCCCGCGATGCTGCGGGCTGCCGTCCAGGCTCTGGCGCGGACGGAGTGAAAGGCAGCGGCCGCAGGAAGAAAAGAGCGAGGGATTTGCCGAGACTCGAGGGGAAGGGCTGGTCCCGGCCGCTTCGACGCCCAGCCTTTGGTTGTTGCTGCCGCGCCCCGGAGATGGTGCCTGCTCCGGGATTAGCCTAAAAGTCCCCCCCCCCTTCTCTCTCTCGCCTTTCCAGCTACGATCGCCGGTAGATCTAGCTTGGGACGCGCGGCGAAGTCCTTCCCACCTCGAGGAAGATCTCTGCTGTAAGCGCCGCAATTACAAATTGTGCCGCGCGAAACTCTGCCAAGTGTTTCCCTACCCTGAAAGAAGAACCGGGCGGATAATATGTCAACCCCGAGCAGATTCAAGAAGGACAAGGAGATCGTGGCCGAATATGAAAGTCAAGTGAAAGGTAAGAAGTCTTGAGGTGGCCGTCGGGGTGGGACAGGGAAGCCTCCTCCTCGTTTCTGACTCTCCTCTTGGTTTTTACCCTGCCTTAACTCCAATGCAAGGAGGTGAGCGCACATCTTTCCATTCCGAGTAATTGTCCCCCCCCCCCAAAAAAAACTGGCACCCTCAGATTATAACGGGGGTTACAATCCTGGCTAAATCCGATCCCCCCCCACGCCCCAATTGAAAGGGTGGGGGAAAGTCCACCTTTGTACCGCTCAGGCCACTCGCTGATTTGAGAGTGTGATAAATTGGTAGGCGAGTGTGTGTCATGGGGGATAAGCTTAAACCATTTTAGGTGATAAGTGCCCCAGCTTCCAGCTGAAGACTCATCACAGAGTCATCTGGTTAATAGAGTCACAGTATCCAGTGTGGAAAGGGAAATGGGCTTGCACAGCAAGAGGGAAGCTGGGATTTGAATAGCCTTCTCCAGCCCCTCTCTTTCCAAGCCACAGTTAAACTGGAAGTGAGGACTCTTTCTTGTTTTTCTTTTTAAAAATACTGCTTGATTGCACAGTTTTAACAGCGTAGATTGCAATTGCTACACTTATTTTACGTCTAGGATGCCCTTTGATTTGGTAAAGGGAGGGTTGTAACTGATTGACAGCTCCCATGTATCTGGAATGGCTGGCTTAGACCATGCACCTTCTGTTTAATCAGTTACAAATGTTCGGTAGCCTTTTAAAAAGCAGTCTTTTAACAGTAGAAGCAATGCTACAACATCCTCCCTGCCTATATTGTACATCAGTTCTCTTTCTCCGTGATTGCTTTTTTATTTTAATGTCACAGCGGAAGACTGTGTTTATACAATCATACATAATATTTTAAGAGTTTCACTTTCCTGTTCTGTAGCTTCATTATATCTGCAGCTTCTGTTTTCTAGCACTTGGCAGCTTTTGAATAAAATGTCTCTTGGAAACAAACAAGATCTTCCTTCTAGAAATATGCTAGTTCATGTTCCTTGTATGTGCTGATTTAAGGTCTTCACTTCATTGGTTGAAAACTAATGTGGGCTATATTGGAGCATACAGATTAATTTGCTCCGGCGTGCGTACATAATAAAAGTTTATATTGCAATTTTGAGTTTGTCCATAGTAATGAAATACCCTTTGTGTATGCAAATCCAACATGTGATGTCATCAGGAACTCCGTTTCACATAGTGTCCTGATGGCTTTGGTAGAACTCTGTTCATCTACACCAGGGTTTCCCAAAAGGGTCTCCAGCTGCTTTTGGACTATAGTTCCCATCATCCCTGACCACAGGTCCTGCTAGCTTGGGATGGTGGGAGTTGTAGTCCAAAAACAGCTGGAGACCCAAGTTTGGGAAACCTTGATCTCTACACTAAGGGTTCCCAGACAAGCAACTGGGTACCTATGCTATAGTTCCACCCTACTAGCGTTTTTATGTGGCGTAGCAGCCAGAAAAAGACCAGGCATGCATTGTCTACTGTACAGTCACACGTGGCTTTGTATGACTGGCCTTCCAGTTCTTTGCCAGAACTGTCTCAGAATCTTACGTGACTGTGTTCAGCTTGAAGGATGAGTTCCTACCTGGCGCCTCCAGAGTATGGGGTTATGAAAGCCCCACTTTTTTCAGATATGCAATTGCTGCACAGATTACTGAATCAGATCTTGAAGGAAAGGTGCCTTAAACAAAAAGTTTCAATAGGTGGCTTAATATCACAATGCTAGGAGCTTATCTAGTTTCAGCTGGTAATTGAATCCAGGCCACTTCCACACTATGTATTTAAAACACTATTCTATTGCTTCAACAGTCGTGCCTTTCCCCCAAAAGAACTCTGGTACTGTAGCTTGTTAAGGATGCTCAGAGTTGTTAGGATACTGTTCTACCCCTTGCCGAGTGGTTTAACCATCAATCTCTTTTCCTAGGGAACTCTGTAACACAAACTGCCTGGGAGTTCTTGTACAAGCCAAGTCCACCTCTGGGACATAACTATACTCTCAGCTGTGTACCATCTGAGGAATTCAGTTGCTCGGCAGGGATATATGGGACACCTATCAGAACACAGATACAAAGTAGCAGTACTAAAATAGAAATAATTTAAATGGTTGTGTGTATTGCGTTGAAAACAAACTTTAGTGGGAAAAGTATACGTTATTCAGATGAAACAAACTTATGTACAGTTTAATGGGTTTTGTTTTTGCATTTGCTAAACGTGGGAAAGAAGAAAACGCTACAGAGGTACTAAATTCTCTGACAACTAATAACAACACCGAACTACCTATACCACCAAATGAATTTTGGCTTGTGGATTCTGTGAGCATACTAGATTGAACAGATCATTGGGCAATTTTTAAAAAGAAAATATTCTGTTATGAGCAATACCAGACTTGATGTTGACTTGGCACATAAAGTCCTACACAACTTGGGTCCCAAGTACTTGATACAGCACCTCTCCCAGCATCTGCTAGTCTGAGCTCCTAAGACCTGCAGGGGAGCCCTATCTGTGCTCCCATCAATGGCCATGATTTGTTTATGATGACGAGAAACTGGGCCTTCTCTGCTGTGGAACTCTCATTGTGGAACTCCTTTCCATTGAAGGTACAGTTGTCTCATCACTTCCAGGCTTGTGAAGTCAGAAGAAGACATTTCTTCCCCTGAAGGCTTGTGGGAAGAGTTTGACCCAAGGGCTGCTGGTCTGTGGTTGACAATTTTGTATTAGAATGGTTTTAATATGTTACGAATTTTATTGGAAATATTGTGTGTTGCCTTGGGCCAAAGGGTGGTCTAGGAATGTATGTATATATTTAATACATTAATATACCAACCTTCCTCCCAAAGTAGGAATAAATAATAATAAAATAGCCATGCAAGGAAGAGGATTTGGGCTGTCATGTTTTTAGATAACTGGCTATATCATTGAATTCAGGAATAAGAAACATGGTAAATAAATTGGGCCAATTAAGTGGTTGCTGGGGCTGTTCTTTGCAGTACACTTTTAATAAACAACAACAGTCTCAAATGTGTAGTTTATCCCAGTGGAAATAATTATCCTATTTTTCCTTAGTTATTTTCCTTACAAAACACATGAAGAATAAGCTCCACTCACATGGCTGTAGCATGTCAACATGGCAGTCTAGTTTACTTTTTCTTATATCTGGCCACAAGAAAATAGACGTGCTACTCACTCTAGTGCACATAGACTGTTTTCGTCACAAAATGAAGTGTTCAGTTTGCAGAAATAGCCTTTGTTAATAAAGGACTATGATGATAAATGCCATATCTGGCAAGTGAGATGTGTACAGGGATATGTTTCTGTCCCTTCAACTAAGGCAGGTGGAAATGTGTATCTTGATCCATGGTTGCGCTAGCCCCTGTTGGACCAGTTGGATATGTAGGGGTGTGTTTTGGGGATGGATGCCCACATCCTGGAGCTGTTGATTGTCTTTGGCTAGATGTGCATGACTTTAGCTGGGTCTAAGCCAAAGTATACAAGGCTGCCGTTGTATGCAGAATTAGGTATGGCATGCTGAACTCTGCATCCGAATGGGCGATCAGACTGGTAGTTTACCAAGTGCATTTTGCCACTCTGCTTCAAGTCAGTCATCTGTGTTTTTCCATGTCCTGGTAAAATATGGAAAGAATACTTCAAGAAGAACAGCATGGAACCATTGTTAACATGTAACAATTCAATGATATTTAACCTTAATAATATATAAGCAGAGTTCAAAGTCAGTCATTGTGTATGAGATCTACTAGTATTAGAATATGTAAAAGATTATCTGTGTTCTACAGGGGTTGTTAGAACTTGACTTCATTCAAGTCTTGTATTTTGACTTATTGAAGAAACACCAAAATAATTAGCATGACACGTTGAGAGAATGTGCCTTGCATTTCATTAAAACTAGTTGGATAATTTAGTGAGATGCTTCAGTTGGAGGACTGAGTACAAGGAAATGCCATAGGTCACTGGTGTTTTATTAGTATTTTTAAAAAAATATCTTAGGCTTTAACTGCAGATTGAGGCCTAGCCTAACCTATGGAGTACAAACTTTTATCTATTAATCTTTACAGGAACCCAGCAATTATACTTCTGAAGGCCAATTTATGCATTACAGCTGCCATTTGAAAGACGTTTCAGATTACTCCATGTGGCAGCTGTTGGCATATAACAAGCTCTATTTATTCAGTAATTCGAGGTGCTGATTTGGCAGTCTTCTCCAGGTCACTGCAAACTTCCTGAAAAAGAAAGGTTTGTAGTGAATATTGTTAAGTCTACATGGTAAAATGCTGTGTTTCACATTTGGTAACTGCTGTTCAAGGCAGTATCGGTGTGGGTGACGATTTAATGTACAAAACATCCCAAGATTATAATACTGCTTTTGCATAGCAGTTTCCTGTACTTCCTGAAGAAACAGGAATTATCTGGAAGAAACAGGAGCAGTGTAGTTTAGAAATACTTTTCTGACCATGCAGTCTGTACTTGCCATTGTAACCCATCCGGTATCCATTCCAGTCACAGTGCAGATGGTACAGGAGGCAGTGTAGACTCAACACAACATGGACCGGGAGGGGTGGAACATTATTATTATTGTTGTTTAGTCGTGTCCGACTCTTCATGACCCCATGGACCAGAGCACGCCAGGCACGCCTGTCTTCTACTGCCTCCCGCAGTTTGGTCAAACACATGTTGGTAGCTTCAAGAACATTCCAACCATCTCGTCCTCTGTCGTCCCTTCCCAACATCAGGGTCTTTTCCAGGGAGTCTTCTCTTCTCATGAGGTGGCCAAAGTACTGGAGCCTCAGCTTCAGGATCTGTCCTTCTAGTGAGCACTCAGGGCTGATTTCCTTAAGAATGGATCGGTTTGATCTTCTTGCAGTCCATGGGACTCTCAAGAGTCTCCTCCAGCACCATAATTCAAAAACATCAATTCTTCGGCGATCAGCCTTCTTTATGGTCCAGCTCTCACTTTCATACATCACCACTGGGAAAACCATAG